GGGGGAGGGCAGTTAATCAAGTTATGGGGACGGTGGGTGCGCTTGGTTCATGGAAGCACAGCAGCACCTCCGCTGCAGTGGGAATGAAGGCTAACCTAAATGTGAAGAGATTTACAAAAAAAGAAAGAAAAAGAGTGTGAAGAGATACCCTCACTGCGAGAAGCCAAGTTACAGGGAACCAGGCAGAGGGCCTTCTCGGTGGTGGCGCCCTCCCTGTGGAACACCCTCCCACCAGATGTCAAAGAGAACAACAACTACCAGACTTTTAGAAGACATCTGAAGGCAGCCCTGTTTAGGGAAGCTTTTAATGTTTGATGTATCACAGTATTTTAATATTTTTTTGGAAGCTGCCCAGAGTGGCTGGGGAAGCCCAGCCAGATGGGCGGGGTATAAATAATAAATTATTGTTGTTATTATTATTATTATTATTATTATTATTATTATTTACTGGTGGGAGAATCTGCATACTCAGACTGCATTAAGAATGTGTCGGGAATATTTCTGCAAAACGTGGCCTTGAGCTAGCCTGATAAGAGAGGAGGTGCCCTGTTTCTCTCACGGGATCTGGCATCCAGCTCCGATACCGGAGACGTGCTTGTCCTCTGAGAATGTGACATAATTTCTACGCACGTGTAAAGCTAAATTGGAGAAACGCCTCTGTATATGCCTGTGTAATATATAGTCCTGTGGATGCCACTTCTGGGGGGTTTTTTGGACAACGATTTTCATCAGTTTTCAATTACAATAATCCATTGGTAGCCTCACACTATAACAATGCCGAATTATAATACAATTACTAATCCCAGTCATTCAAATGCCAAACTATATCATTTAGGTGGTCTCCCGCATGCTAGAATTGATGGTTTGATTATTTACTTGGTTTCTGCGTCCCAAAAACTCATTCGTCTGAATTACATTCCGTTCAAAATAACAACTGCAATACAGTGGTGCCTCGCAAGACGAAAATAATCCGTTCTGGGAGTCTCTTCGTCTAGCGGTTTTTTCGTCTTGCGAAGCAAGCCCATTGACGGATTAGCGGATTAGCGCTATTAGCGCTATTAGCGGCTTTTAGCGGCTTTTAGCAGCTTATCGGATAAGCAGATAAGCGGCTTAGCGACTTAGAAAAAGAGGGGGAAAAGGAAAAAAAAAACGCAGGAACTCGCAAGACATTTTCGTCTTGCGAAGCAAGCCCATAGCAGATTCGTTTTGCGAAGCACCTCCAAAACGGAAAACTCTTTCGTCTAGCGAGTTTTCCGTCTTGCGAGGCATTCGTCTTGCGGGGCACCACTGTATGAACAACATCTATTCGTCTTGACACAGCAAATGATTTATAAACCCATAGGTGAAGCATTCAAACTATATCCTTATTCCTCCTGCGTGTGACACATGTGGGTCATAGCTGACAACTTTTCCCTTTTCTTGCGAGGAATCCTATTCGGAATAAGGGAATTTCCCTTTAAAAAAGGGGAAGGTTGACAGCTATGATGTGGGTGCCACTTTTTGTGGGCTTCCCAGCAGCCACTGCGGTTCTAAAGCTGTCTCAAACATCACAATGATGTGCAGAATTAATATGATTTATTTATTGAAGGAATCCACCACATCATCCACTTGCAAGCATAACGCACAGGAGGTTCATCCACCTTGGCTATCTTTGAAACAAGGGCAGCCAATGGGATGGCCCCTAGGAGCTTTCGACTAGAGCTTTCACCAGCCTCACATGGCATGGCCAATGAGCAGGGAGAAGGGGAGTCACAGGCCCCGCCCCCACATCTGGAGGGCACCACGTTGGCAACCCCTGCCTTCAAACACCCCTTGCAATTCCTAAGTGTGTTGCACGTGGTTCCCTCCGTTTCCAGCCTCTGCTGGAGGCGGAGCACGCAGGCACGGATCCTGCTGCTGCCGCCCCCAAACATTAAATAAGTTGGAGTTCTTGTTATCAAATATATAAATACACCAAGAAAAAAGCACACCAAGAACTTAGGCCAATGTAAGTTTCAATAGTGGGAGTGGTCCCTACTCGCAAATCAATAGTCAATTGTAACAAAAACTAATCCATTCAAAAGTATGTATTTTGACATACAAACTCAAACTCATGAGTAGAGATAAGTTCATGTTAGTCCATAGTCAGATTTGACGTGAAGGTCTTAATTTCAATCACTGAGCAGAAGTCAGAAGTCAATTATGGATCAGAAGCTAGGACAGGGCCCCATTTCGATGTATTCACCTTCATCAGCTGGAAGTATCAAACATTACATGAAAATACATTCAAATTCTAAATTATCATAAATTATAAAACAGTATTGCACAACATTTGGTTCCTTACCTAATTTTTAAGGGGTCGTGTAAATTTGAAGAACTCGTATAAATATATCCTGTTATTTTCTACGTTTCTCTCTGACTATGGACTAACGTGAACTCATCTCTACTCACAAACTCTTATCTCTAATACTGTGATGAATTATTGTGTTACACATATCCTTATGAGTTTGAGTTTGTAATCTCTATTTGAGTTTGTAATCCTTGTCAGATTACGTACTTTTGAATGGATTAGTTTTTTGTTACAATTGACTATTGATTTGCGAGTAGGGACCACTCCCACTTTTGAAACTTATACTGGCCAGAGTTCTTGTCGTTTCTCAGCAACCACTCACCGAACATCCACACGTCGCTGGCAGAGGTGAATCGGCGGAAGTTGATGGACTCTGGGGCCATCCACTTGATGGGCAGGCGAGTCACGGAGGCTGGGTTGAGAAAGGCAAGGTGGGGAGCAGGGAGAGATCAGAGCCAGTTATTCCCAAAGCACAGGCAAGCCAGCAAGGTTACAACTGAGCGGAGGCTTCTGCATTCGCTATATTTTTGATTGCTGCATTTTCAATCTTTTAAAAACACATTTTTATTGTTTGACACGACATTCCATCTCCATGTGGCCCCCAAATATAGCAGCATGGGCAGCCGCCTTATGCTGACTCCAGCATTGGTCCATGTAGCTTAGTACTGGCAACTCTGACCGGCAACAGCTCTAAAGCGTATCAGGCAGGGAACCTTCCACAGTCCTATCTGGAGATGTCAGGAATTGGACCTCAGACGTTTTGCATGCCTTCCCCAAATCAAATGGCTTTGCAGTATGGAAGTCCTCCAGCCTGCTGTCATTCTGGGTCCTAGAGGTCTCGCTTCAGGCCAAGCGTATGCATAAAGGTAAAGGGACCCCTGACTGTTAGGTCCAGTCGTGGACGACTCTGGGGTTGCGGCGCTCATCTCGCTTTACTGGCCAAGGGAGCCGGCGTACAGCTTCTGGATCATGTGGCCAGCATGACTAAGCCGCTTCTGGCAAAGCAGAGCAGTGCGCGGAAACGCCGTTTACCTTCCCGCCGGAGCGGTACCTATTGATCTACTTGCACTTTGATGTGCTTTTGAACTGCTAGGTTGGCAGGAGCAGGAACCGAGCAACGGGAGCTCACCCCGTCACGGGGATTCGAACCGCCGACCTTCTGATCAGCAAGTCCTAGGCTCTGTGGTTTAACCCACAGCGCCACCCGCGTCCCCGAATACCCATCACCGAATACCCGTGTATACGAGCAACGGTTCTTTGGGGACCCTTTCTGGTCCTGGGACTTCCAACCCATTTAACTAGAGATGCTGGAAACTAGTCCCCAAACCTTCACACGGGAAACAAGCGCTCTGCCAAACAAACAAACAAACTGCACCCCACATTTCTGAACCCGGTTGCAGGCCACAGCTGAGCTGCCCTGCAGCCTTGACATGCCCAGAGGAGCTGGCCTCACAAAAAAGTAACTCTTCCAGCTGGTAGGGACATCCCAAGGACTTGGGTGGAGGCCTTTTCCAGACTTGTCACCCAATATTTTTGGTGGGAAGGCCAGTAGCTTAGTGGCAGAACATCAGCTTTGCCTTCAGATAGTCTCAGGGTCAATCCCAATGACATCTTCTGGTAGGGCTGTGATTGTCACCTGCCTGAATCCCTGGAGAGTCACTGCCAGGGAGTGTAGAAAATACTGCTCTAAGATGTACATACACAGCTTCCTGTGTTACTGTGCCAATCCTTTGCACAAGAGATGTTGGGCACTTGAATTGGGCATCTTCTTGATGCACCAGCGAGGGTCAAATTCAGCTTGCGCAGCAAACACAAAGCAGTGGCCATGAGGACTTTAATTACATGTATGCAACATACGAAATGAAACTATAATCTTTATTGTCATTGTCCCAAACAGAACAACGAAATTGAAAAAAATCTACATCAGACATTCAAAACCCAACAAGCCTGCTATCCCAACCTGGTTAGCCCCCTAAAAACTCTGACCCCCCATAATTAAATACAATATACTCCCACAGAGACTACCTTACACTGCGTTTAAAACCAAAATCACATTTGGATAGAAACTGTTTCTCAGGTGGCTAGTCCTGGTCTTTATAACCCTGGACCTTCTTCCAGAAGGCAGAAGCTGAAAGAGATCATTTCCGGGGTGCGCACTATCCTGCGCTATCTCTGCAGCTTTCTTAGGGCACCTGGAAGCATAGATTTGATCCAGGGTGGAAAGAGTGCACCCAATTATTCTATCCGCAGTCTTGACAACCCTGGACAGCATTGGTTTTTCCCCTGACCGTGCAGCTCCCAAACCACACACACAGACCACTCTCAACAGTACAATGGTAAAAATGCCATCAACAGGTCCTTTGAGAGATTATTTTTCCGGAGGATTTTCAGAAAATATAACTGTTCAGCCTGGAGCTCTGGGACACCCCCAGCCCCCCCTCCTTACCTTTGTAATACTCGTCATCCTCAATGTATCTGGAGAGCCCAAAATCTCCCAGTTTGACGCACTCGTGAGAAGCCACCAGTACATTCCGGACAGCGATGTCCCTGCAGGTGACAAGGTGAGATTGGCCACTCCTTTTCTGGGAGGTGGAGGGGGGGCAATAGGTATGATGGGAGGGGTAGGGTGGATCAGAAGTGCCCGAGTACACATGCCATGGTGGGACCCCCAGGTCATCTATCGCTCACCGATAAGACAGCCTGCATTGTGGTTAGAGCGCTGGACTAGGACTTGGGAGACCAGGGTTCGATTCCCTACTCAGCCATGAAGCTCATGAGATGACCTCATTCAGTCACTTGCTCTCAGCCTGACTTACCTCACAGGGTTGTTGTGAGGACAAAACAGGGAGAACTACGGAAGCCAACTTAAGGACCTTGGCAACAGGCCTGCTCAAGGTGCCCCGCCTATAAAATTGGAGAAATTGAGAGATATATAGCTGCACCGGCAGCATATCTCTTCTTTCTTGTATCCAAAAATGCAAGAAGGGCTTTTACACTTGCCAGAAGCTCGGCTCTGCCCTCTCCGATCTTGGAAGGAGCCTTTTAAAAAGTCCCATACACTCAGAGACTTTGCGCCTGTTCATTGGGGGAGATAGGAAGCCCAGAGCACTTGTTCTTTAGATGTCCCTTTTATGAAGAGGCACGTAGTAAGACCATTGATTCCCTACTGGTGAGGCTCACTGACCTCCTGGAAAAGCAAAAATTCAACCTTCTCCTGTTAGGCAAAGACCAGAAGACGACCTGGATGGATCTGTGCACAGATCTGTAGGTGCAGACCATCCCCCGACTCAAACTAGTTTGTTAAGAAAATCCCCAAACTCGGTTCCATGGGTAACTCTGGGTCAGCTCTCTGTGGTAGTTTATCTTAAAGTTTTAAGTGTCTATATGCTTATCACATCCCCTTCATGCATCACTGCCTTGCCGTGGCGAAGGGGCTTGAAGAACTCAGAGAAGCTATGAGCTATGCCGAGCAGGGCACCCAAGATGAACAGGTCATAGTGGAGAGTTTTGACCAAACGTGATCCACCTGGAGGAAGAACCGGCAAGCCACTCCAGTATCCCTGCCAAGAAAACTCCATGGACAAAGACAACAGGCATATAAAAGTTATGACGCTAGAAGATGAGCCCCTCAGGTCGGAAGGTGTCCAACATGCTACTGGGGAAGAGCGGAGGACAAGTACAAGTAGATCCAGAGCTGATGAAGTGGCTGGGCCAAAGCCGAAAGGACGCTCAGTTGCGGATATGCATGGAAGCGAAAGGAAAGTCCAATGCTGTAAAGAAAAATATTGCATAGGAACCTGGAATGTAAGAACCATGAACCTGGGTAAGTTGGATGTGGTCAGAAATGAGATGGCAAGAATAAATATTGACATCCTGGGCATCAGTGAACTAAAATGGATGGGAATGGGCGAATTCAGTTCGGATGACTATCATATCTACTACTGTGGGCAAGAAACCCGTAAAAGAAATGGAGTGGCCCTCATAGTCAACAAAAGAGTGGCGAAAGCTGTACTGGGATGCAATCTCAAAAATGATAGAATGATCTCGATACGAATCCAAGGCAGACCTTTTAACATCACAGTAATCCAAGTTTATGCACCAACTACTGGTGCTGAAGAGACTGAAATTGACCAATTCTATGAAGACTTACAAGACCTTATAGAAGTGACACCAAAGAAGGATGTTCTTCTCATTATAGGGGATTGGAATGCTAAAGTAGGGAATCAAGAGATAAAAGGAACAACTGGCAAGTTTGGCCTTGGAGATCAAAATGAAGCAGGGCAAAGGCTAATAGAGTTCTGCCAAGAGAACAAGCTGGTCATCACAAACACGCTTTTCCAACAACACAAGAGACGACTCTACACATGGACATCACCAGATGGGCAACATCAAAATCAGATTGATTATATTCTCTGCAGCCAAAGATGGAGAAGCTCTATACAGTCAGCAAAAACAAGACCTGGAGCTGACTGTGGCTCAGATCATCAGCTTCTTACAGCAAAATTCAAGCTTAAACTGAAGAAAGTAGAAAAAACCACTGGGCCGGTAAGATACAATCTAAACCAAATCCCTTATGAATACACAGTGGAAGTGAGGAACAGGTTTAAGGATTTAGATTTGCTGGACAGAGTGCCTGAAGAACTATGGGTGGAGGCTCGCAACATTATACAGGAGGCAGCAACTAAAACCATCCCAATGAAAAAGAAATGCAAGAAAGCAAAGTGGCTGTCCAACGAGGCCTTACAAATACCGGGGGAGAGAAGGCAAGCAAAATGCGAGGGAGATAGTGAAAGATACAGGAAATTGAATGCAGATTTCCAAAAAATAGCAAGGAGAGACAAGAAGGCCTTCTTAAATGAGCAATGCAAAGAAATAGAGGAAAACAACAGAATGGGGAAAACCAGAGATCTGTTCAAGAAAATCGGAAATATGAAAGGAACATTTCGTACAAAGTTTACCATAATAAAGGACAAAAGTGGAAAGGACCTAACAGAAGCAGAAGACATCAATAAGAGGTGGCAAGAATACACAGAGGAATTATACCAGAAAGATATGGATGGCTCGTACACCCCAGGTAGTGTGGTTGCTGACCTTGAGCCAGACATCCTGGAGAGTGAAGTCAAATGGGCCTTAGAAAGCACTGCAAATAACAAGGCCAGTGGAAGTGATGGTATTCCAGCTGAACTATTTAAAATTTTAAAAGATGATGCTGTTAAGGTGCTACACTCAATATGCCAGCAAGTTTGGAAAACTCAGCAGTGGCCAGAAGATTGGAGAAGATCAGTCTACATCCCAATCCCAAAGAAGGGCAGTGCCAAAGAATGCTCCAACTACCACACAATTGCACTCATTTCACACGCTAGCAAGGTTATGCTTAAAATTCTACCAGGCAGGCTTAAGCAGTATGTGGACCGAGAACTCCCAGAAGTGCAAGCTGGATTTCGAAGGGGCAGAGGAACCAGAGACCAAATTGCAAACATGCGCTGGATTATGGAGAAAGCTAGAGAGTTCCAGAAAGACATCTACTTCTGCTTCATTGACTATGCAAAAGCCTTTGACTGTGTCGACCACAGCAAACTATGGCAGGTTCTTAAAGAAATGGGAGTGCCTGATCACCTCATCTGTCTCCTGAGAAATCTCTATGTGGGACAAGAAGCTACAGTTAGAAATGGATATGGAACAACTGATTGGTTCAAAATTGGGAAAGGAGTACGACAAGGCTGTATATTGTCTCCCTGCTTATTTAACCTATATGCAGAATTCATCATGAAAAAGGCTGGGCTGGATGAATCCGAGGCCGGAATTAAGATTGCCGGAAGAAATATCAACAACCTCAGATATGCCGATGACACAACCTTGATGGCAGAAAGTGAGGAGGAATTAAAGAACCTTTTAATGAGGATGAAAGAGGAGAGCGCAAAATATGGTCTGAAGCTCAACATCAAAAAAACGAAGATCATGGCCACTGGTCCCATCACCTCCTGGCAAATAGAAGGGGAAGAAATGGAGGCAGTAAGAGATTTTACTTTCTTGGGCTCCATGATCAATGCAGATGGTGACAGCAGTCACGAAATTAAAAGACGCCTGCTTCCTGGGAGAAAAGCAATGACAAACCTAGACAGCATCTTAAAAAGTAGAGACATCACCTTGCCAACAAAGGTCCGTATAGTAAAAGCTATGGTTTTCCCAGTAGTGATGTATGGAAGTGAGAGCTGGACCATCAAGAAGGCTGATCGCCGAAGAATTGATGCTTTTGAATTATGGTGCTGGAGGAGACTCTTGAGAGTCCCATGGACTGAAAGAAGATCAAACCTATCCATTCTTAAGGAAATCAGCCCTGAGTGCTCACTGGAAGGACAGATCCTGAAGCTGAGGCTCCAAGACTTTGGCCACCTCATGAGAAGAGAAGACTCCCTGGAAAAGACCCTGTTGTTGGGAAAGATGGAGGGCACAAGGAGAAGGGGACGACTGAGGATGAGATGGTTGGATGGTGTTCTTGAAGCTACCAGCCTGAGTTTGATCAAACTGCGGGAGACAGTGGAGGACAGAAGTGCCTGGCGTGCTCTGGTCCAGGGGGTCACGAAGAGTCGGACATGACTAAACGACTAAACAACAACAACATGCTTATCGCATTTATAAATTTTAAATGTATTTAAAAAGGTCATTGGAGGAAAGGTGGGATACAAATGTTGTTGTTGGCATTTGTCTGTCTTGGGAGACAACAGAAGAGTGTGCCTTTGGGGGCGAAGTCAAGCCGTTGTCTCCGAAAAATCTTACACATCACTTGGGAAGGCAGGCAAACTAATGCCAGAGTACTGGAAGAAGCAAAGATCACCAGTCTTCAACGTCAACTTTGTTGGGCTGGTCATGTTGGGCGGATGCCTGATGATTGCCTTCCAAAGCAACTACTCTATTCCCAACTTAAAAATGGAATGCGTAATGCTGGTGTTCAACAAAAGAGGTTTAAAGACTGTCTCAAGGCAAATCTAAAAAAATGTAGTATAAACACCAACAATTGGGAAACACTGGCCTGCGAGTGCTCCAGTTGGAGAACAGCCTTCACCAAAGGTGTCATGGGCTTTGAAGACACTTGAACTCAGGACGCAAGGGAGAAATGTGCTAAGAGGAAGGCACGCTTAGCAAACCTTCACTGTGATTAACTCCCACCCGGAAACCAATGTCCCCACTGTGGAAGGACATGTGGATCCAGAATTGTCCTCCGCAGTCACTTACAGACTCACTGTTAAGACCATGTTCATGGAAGACAATCTTACTCAGCTACGAGGGATCACCAAAGAAGAAGAAGAAGCAAGTGACCTCCCTGAGGTGCACGTCTGTGGGTCCTGGGAGAGAGACTTCCAGCCTGAGCAGTGCACCTGTGCGTGTGCATTGCTCCTTGCGCATGACCCCAATGTTCTCCCCACTGGAGTTTATGTCACCAAATCCACTCCAGACCCACCCACCCTGAAAATGAGGCTCTGCTAGCAATTCCACTGGGGGTGGCCTCCAATTCATTTTCTTGATTTATCCCCCACATTCCTTCTCTAACCGCGGAACTATCTGAGATGCCTTTTCTGGTACCCAGGGCTGCTCTGCATCCTTGCCTCACAGAGGAACACAGGTAGGGTCCATCTGGAACCAATAAGATGTCTGGGCTTTCTCAATTTCTCAGAGCTGATTGGTGGCTGTTTGCAGAGAAGCCTAGGTGCGCAAGTTTGGCACTGCGAAAACATGTCTCTGATATGCGCCGCCCTCCCGCTGTCTT